GTCTGCTAGTGATGGTGATTGGGAAGAATATATTCCATTTGTTGATACCACATTCCAATTTAAAGTTAATTTAAATTTAAAATTTAAATTTCCTTTACGGTGCAGTAATTTACCCTCCCCCTCAGAGAAGAAGTTGTGACCCTTATCAGGGCCTTCCATGACCCTTACCTGCTGCTAGTTTCATTCTTTAAGGCCAGACATTACCCTTGTTTCCCTGGCTGCTGCTCTTTCTCTGTCTCTATGATCCTCTTCACTTTGGTCTTAGCTCATATAGTTTCTCCGCAGGCAAGCCTTTCCCATGCCCTCTGAAGCATCTCCACATGCTAGCCTTCTGAACTGCTTGCATCTCATTGCTGTTTGTTCCTAAACATTTCACTGTTTGAAGTGACTTTCTTTACTCATTCGCTTGTTATCCATTTTGTTCCCTGAGAAAAGTGAAGTTCATGAAGATAGGAACTCTATACTATGAACCATGGTGGCATCCAAGACCTCAGGGCCTGCTCCTGCCCATAGCAGGTGCTTTGTGTGTGTGTGTTCTGAATATTAGAAAGCCAGTCTCCAAACATACTGCACTGAAAACGTGTGAAAATTGGAAATAAGCTTCTAGATTTTGTGTCCTGTTGCCAAGTGATGAAGTGATGAGATTGGAATCCACTACTTCTCTTTGTTTCTGCTGTTTTTTTAGGGGGATGGACAGACATGCACAAACAGATACACAGACACAGTATGTAAGATTGATTTTGCTCAGCCAATATTTATTGAGTGTTCACTCTGTGTGTGGTATAAGAAGGAAATTTGGGAAAATGTCATTCTCTAACTAGTTTCTCAGAGTTTATTAAAGCCTTGGTTTAAGCACTAATCCTTTGTGACTTGATTTAGCATTTCACTGATTTTACAATTGTGAAAATGCCTTCAATTTTATTATTCAGTGTTTTACTCTGTTAAGAAAAGACATTGAGCTGGATGCAGGTGGCTCACACCTGTAATCCTAGCTACTCAGGAGGCTGAGATCTGAGATTCATGGTTCAAAGCCAACCCAGGCAGGAAAGTGCGTGAAACTCTTATCTCCAATAAACCACTAGAAAACTGGAAGTGGCACTGTGGCTCAAGTAGTAGAGCGCTCACCTTGAGCTGAAGAGCTGAGGGACAGGGCCCAAGCCCAGAGTTCAAGCCCCACAACCAACCAAAAAAAAAAAGAAAAAAGACAGTTGAATTTTGAAATGAGATTTTTTTTCCCTGAATATTACCATTATCTTGGGTTATCAAAGGCTGTGTGTATGTGTGTGTGTGTGTGTATATGTGTATGTCTGTATGCTGGGATTGAATTCAGGGCTCTTGGCTTTTTTCACTCAGAGCTGGTGCTCTACCACTTGAGCCATAGTTCTATTTCTGGCCTTTTGGCTAGTTAAGAGTCTCATGAACTTTCCTGCCCGGGGTGTCTTTGAACTGTGATCCTTAGATCTCAGCTGCCTGAGTATCTAGGAGTACAGGTGTACAGGTGTAGTCACTTGTACCCAGCTGGGTTATTAAAAGTTTTAGCTTTTCTTTGTGTAGCACATAAAGTATTCACTTAGCAATAGCCCTGAAGTGAAATTATGAGTCTCAAATTTTATTTTATTTTATTTTTCTTTTATTCAGGCAGGTTCATTCAAGACCTCTACTAGTGCATTGAATAGTTTAAGGAATTTTAAGTGAGCACTCATGTCAGGTATTAGTGTATTTGTTCTCAGTGTGGCTGCTCAGGCCTGTATGGTCAGCGTGGCCTGGGAACTTGTTAGGGATACAGATTCTCAGGCCCCTTCTAGCCCTACTCAAGCAGAAACTCCAGGGGTTGGATCTAGCACTGTTTTAACAAACCCTCCAGGTGATTCTGATGTGTACTAAGCTTTGAGAACTATGGCTTAGTAAATGTTAAAGGTTCAAGGTAGCATGAGCTCACAAATCAGCCAAATAGCATTAATTATTAGCCTGGTAAGCCCACCTCCTTTTGGGCTGCTGAATTGGATTGGTTCATTAAGGCTAAACTGTGAAGTCATTTGCTGGTTTGATTGCCACATATTGACTTTGGGTTGTTTGTATTTCTCTGAACCTGTCACTGTAATGATTTGCCAGGACACTTAATAGGAACGGGCTGTGATTTTCTGAGTCATGGGTGGCTGGGTCCTTACACCCTCCCAGAAAGATTCCTCCAGGCAGACGCATGCCATTGGCCTGTCTTATTGAGGGAAGTGTGACTGTTGGAGCACAAGTAACTCCCAGGGGTTTAGTCTATCCTCAGATTGGTTTCCAGGTAGGGAATTGAGCCCCTTGTCAGATTGTGCCTTGCCTGTTGTCCAGCGAGGTAGTGGTAGAGGAAGCAGGACTCAGGTCTTCTGATCCCCTCAGGATCCCTACGCCTGCAGAACATTCCTTTCCTACTGAGAGATTTTCCCTTTTATTTAAAGAAAAAAAAAAGCAAATAGAGAAAAGCCAGGAAGTTCTCATTGAAACTAATAAAAATGTCTAAAGAGGATGAAAAAATCAGTTCAAGTGCTTTGGTATGGAGGAAATAACCTGACATTAACTGTTTTAATTATAGTTGTTGCATTGGGCTTATCAGTGTGGGAAGAGGGAGCATTTGAGCCTTACAGGGAAGTGGGATGTGGACAAGATGACCCTCTTCCTGAATCTGCCGGGGGTGGGGGGGGGCTGCTTTTTCAGAGATGGGTTGGGCTTAGTGACGAACCTGGGTCCAAGGCTCAGTGCTGCCACCAGCTAGAGATCAGATGCCCCATGAGCAGGTCCTTTACTTCCCTGGCCTTCACTTTCTGGTAAATAAATGGGTACAGCGACACCTACCCTGCCCTGAAGAAGAAAGGTGTCAGGTAGTTAGGACCGCAGCCTAGACTCAGGCTGGTGGGTCTGATTCTGGTTCATTGCTACAGTAGGTAGGTCACTAACCCTCAGAGTTCGCTCACGTGTGCAGTAAGTTTAATGACAGTAACTGCTGCTTAGGTTGTTGTGAAGGTGGAATTAGTATGTAAACTACCCAAGAGACAGCACTCAGGATTTAGGAGGTGCACTGTGTTAGCTGCTATTGCTATTACTAGTTTTTGGTGGTATTGCCTTTTGAACTCAGCCTCATGCATGTTAGCTAGTCTGCTACTGAGCCCTACCTCCAGCTCCTGTGATTCTGCAGTTTATGTATAGAATGATGTGGCTACATGGGAACTTCTCGGATTGATTTCCTTTCAAGTATTTATACATGAATTATTCTAAAACATCTTAAGAGGCCTCTAAGAAAGAGTTTATGAACTTCAGCTTTTAACTATTAAAGTAGTTTTCTTTTTGGCTTGGTTTTCCAGAGGTCATTAAGGTTTTCTTTTTCTTTTTTTTAGCTTATTTTGCATATTATTATTATCTTTAGTTGTAAAAGGAGTTGCCACTAAACAAAGCAGTTTATGAATATAATGCATCTTGATCATGTCACACCTTTCAAAATTGTCACTCAACTCCCCAACTTTCTCTTTCTCATTAGGGACTTTTCTTTTTGGGAGGGGGTCAGTTGTGGATCTTAAACCCAGGGCCTGGGCTCTATCCCTGAGCTCTTTTGCTCAAGGCTAGTGTTCTATCACTTTGAGCCACAGCTTCACTTTTGGTTTTTGAGGGGTTAATTGGAGAGAAGAGTAGGAACTTAGAAAACCAGAAGTGGCACTGTGGCTCAAGTGTTAGCATGCTGGCTTTGAGCTGAAGAGCTCAGAGTTCAAGCCCCATGCCCGACGGGGGGAGGGGGAGGTAGAGGGAAGAGTAGGAACTTTTCTGCCCTAGCTGGCTTCAAACCACCATCCTAAGATCTCAGCCTCCTGTGTAGCTAGGATAACAGGTGTGAACCACCGGCACCCCACTGTCATTAGGTTTGAACTCAGGGCCTGGGCTCTGTCCCTGAGCCTCTTTGTGCTCAAAGCTAGCACTCTACCACTTGAACCACAGTGCCACTTCTGGCTTTTTCTGTTTATGTAGTACTGAGGAATTGAACCCAGGACTTTGATTCCTAGAGTGCTAGGCAAGCACTCTACCACCAAGCCATATTCCTAGCCCTCATTAGGATTTTTGATACTCATTTTAATAATGAAAATTTCAACCCCAGAAGCAAAATAAGTAAGCCATTTTAAGCATTTAACAAATGTGTGGCATGCCTTGGTAGACTTTCTCCTCTCCTGGCTGAAATCAATGAAAATTTTCACTAGTGCAGCTTTTTTTTTTTCCTCCCCGTAGTAGTCTGATTTTGGGAGAAATTTTGTTGTCTCTCAAAGAACCAGGGGAATGAAGAATTGTAGAATTTTTCACGTTTTCTGTACATATTAAATAATCTCATTGTTATCTTTGATCCATTCCTCTACAGTTTCTATTCATGATCTACTCCTTGTCTTTTTGAGAGCCTTGACTCTCATTATATTTCCTTCACTTACCTGTGTATTCAAATTCTCCTTTTTTTTTTCTGGATCCTAATATACTGTACGTTAAGTTCTCAACTTTAGTTTTTTGAATGAATATTGTTGGTGTTTCTGATTTCTTGCTGAAGTGGCTTGTTTTAAAACTTTACCTAAAGCCAGGTCACTCCTTAATACGGTAACCCTGTATTTATTTGGGTCTTCCTAAAACATTCATTGAACTCTTACATTGTCGTCTGTAGTATCTAAATCCCAAGGTGGTTGTGCTATGGCACAGATTTGCTCATATTGTTATTGGGAGAGAGAAGGTTGCAGCCAGGGCTATTGAAATCCAGAGAACTAGGAACTTCCAAGACCATGAAAACAATTAATGTCAGAATTGACCCTGGGGATAGCCTCTGTGCTTCTATAACTCTAGAAGCCAAAAGATGAAAAGCTGATTGAAACTCTAAAGGGAAACCTACATCAGATTTAATGTGGGAATGAATGTGAATGTGGATCACATTTTGATTTCTGAGGGATATGCCTAGCCCCTTATATTTCTAATGTATGTTTCTTTTTTTACTTTAGCACTGCAGTGTCGAGATGACCAAGAGCCCTGTGTAAATAAAGGAATTTGTATTACCTACCACAATGGCACTGGATACTGCAAGTACGTTTTTCTCATCATATATTTTCTCTTTTCACAATGGGACACTGAACAAGATTTGATTCTCTCTTATTTTTAATACTGCTGGGAAGTGTTACTGGTTCTAAACCTCTTTGGTACAGTTTTTGTGGGTGGTAAGGAAGAATGTGGCTGTCAGAGAAATGGATAACAAGAACTGTTTACTATCTTACCATTAACGTTATGAATGACTTTTCAGCACTGGCCTTTTGAATATGCTGTTTTACATTGTCTTCCTTTAAGGCATATCCTTCAAATCTCCCTCCTGTTAGCTATGATTTTTAAATCAAACCAAATAGATATTAACTTTAATTTTTCCCAGTATAAGTGAATATTAGAGTCACAGGCCATTTTTTTCCTAGCGTAAAAAGCTCAATTCCAGAGGTGATTCTGTAAAGGAGGAAAATGTATGCATGCATAAAGGACAGGGTAAGGAAAGAATATCATCATATAGAGGAACATTCTGGATGAGGGCAGGACACAGGACTGAGAAAATTTTTGTGTGTGTGTGCATGCGTTCCAGTTCCAGAGCTTGAACTCAGGGCCTGAGCACTGTCCCTAAACTTTTAGTGCTTAAGGCTAGTGCTCCACCACTTGAGCCATTGTTCTACATCCAGCTTGTCAGTTATTTGGAGATAAGAGTCTCATGGATTTTCCATGGCTTCAAACCATAGTTCTTAATCTCAAGGATTACAGGTATGAGCCACCGGCACTCAGATCATAGGATAGTTTTTGACTCAAGAATATGTTTTTCTTTTTCTCTAATCATATATTCAGCCAGACTTTTTGTTTGAGGAAGGCTGTAGGATAATTTTATAAATAGTTTGGATTTTTTTTCTCCATGCACTAGCACTGGGATTTGAACTCAGGGCCTCATGCTCACTTGTTTGTTTCTACTCAAGGCTGGCACTCTACCTCTTGAGCTACTTCTATAAATCATGTTTTTTCTTTTACTTCAGTTGAAAAATTTTGGTGATGACATGTATCCTGTGTCTTTCAGTGAAATAAGATTTGGTAATATGAAATCTGTCTTATTTTTTCTAAATATAATTATAACTTTTTTTCTAATTATGTCTATCTAGTCTGACATCAGAACTTAAGTTCTTTTTTTTTTTTTTTGGTCTGTCATGGGGCTTGATCTCTGGGTTTGGGCGCTGTCCCTGTGCTCTTCAGCTTAAGGTGAGTGCTGTACCGCTTGAGCCACACCACCACTTCTGGTTTTCTAGTGGTTATTGGAGATAAGAGTATCATGCACTTTCCTGCCCGGGCTGGCTTTGAACAGTGATCCTCAGATCTCAGCCTCCTGAGTAGCTAGGATTATAGGTGTGAGCCACCAGCACCCAGCTTAGAACTTAAGTTCTTTAATGTCCTAAATGAGAATTTTTTTTCCAAGTCAGAAGTAATTTTTCTCAACAAAGTGAAAATATTTTAAGCTGTGATGACAGTAGGGCTTAACAATTGTTTGGATTGGAATAAAGATAACATTGGAGATGAAAGATTTTTATGTAACTGATTATGGGCTTCTGACTAGATTTTTCTAGCTGGAAAAAACACATGTGTTGCATTCTCCCCTAAGAACAAAAATACAACTGAAGATAATAAGGGAGGGAACTAAGTATTTTGGAGTGGGCCACTGCAATCTTATAATCCCTTTAAGGCTCTGGTGCCAACTTGCTTGCTTTATTCTCTTAGTCAGCTCTCTTGTGGTAGTTAGCCCATTACATTGTGATCATTGTTGGCTTTTTTTTTTTTGTAATTGTTTTTGAAGTAGATTCCAAGGTCATGGTCTTAGACATTTTTGCAATACTAATACCTACTGTAGTATGTGGTTCATAGTTATTGCTTGGTAATGTGTATTTTATTTTATTTGTACTGGTGTTGGTTGAATTCAGGGCCTCATGCTCTCTCAGTTGGCTTTTTCACTGAAGGCTAGGTACTCTACCACTTGAGCCATAGCTCTGCTTCTGGCTTTTGCTGGTTAATTGGAGATAATGTCTCTTGGGTTTGTCTGCCCAGGCTGGCTTTGAACCAAGATCCTCAGATCTCAGCCTCTTGAGTAGATCAGATTACAAGTTTGAACCACCAGTACCTGGCTTTAGTATACATCACACGTGCGTGTGCACACACATGTGTGTGTTTTAAATACGTTATTGGTTCTTTCCAATAAGAATTTATTTTCCTCATGTAGTGTCCAGGTTGGCAGTACCATACAGAGTAACAAGTTAATTTGGACAGAATTCAACTTGGTGACTTGTATAGTGAGAGTTTCACATAGGTTCTAAATGTTGGCCTGTATATTTATGGTCTGGCATGAGGAGAAGGTAGCTAAGGGATGATAATATCTGCATGCTGACTAGGAGAGGACACCAAGGGTCACTTAGGATGAGAAGTAGTTTTGTGAGTTTCTAGTCTCAAACTCTGTAAGCAAGGTCAGGAAGGCAAGGTTGCCTTCAAGTTCTGGAAGAATTGGAAGCCACTACTCACTTTGTGGCTGGTAAAATGGGAGCAGCCTGAATGCTGTCCTCAGCCACCTGTGAATTGTTGAAAGGATGGGCACTTAGGAGTCCAGTGCTGAGTGTCTCCCTCACACATGATGCAGCTGGCTGTGTGTGAGGGAAACGCTTCCTAAGAAAGGGAGAGTAGGAAAACAATTTGACAAAACCATCATTTTGGGTGACCAATCTAAACAACAGAACTTAGGAAAAGAGAGTGTTTACCTTCATGAAGGGAATTTTAGGGTCATGGATGGACACAGGAAAAGAAGTAAGAACACTTCCAGAGAGGCCAAACCTTTCATTCCCCAAAGCTGCACCAACTTTACAGAATTTTAAGCAAAGTTATAACCCAAAGCTCTGCACTGGTGGCTCACACCCGTAATCTTAGCTACTCAGGAAGCTGAGATCTGAGGATCAGGGTTCAAAGCCAGCCCAAGTAGGAATGTCCATGCTTATCTCCAGTTAATCAGCAAAATGTTGGAAGTGGAGATGTGAAAGGAGTGATAGAACATCAGCCTTGAGCAAAGAAACCAAGCAAGAGTTGAAGCCCCAGTACCAACACACACACACACACACACACACACACACGCGCTGTGTGTGTAAGCAAAATTACTTTGCACTTGGCTTCATTCATTCAACTAGGCACTACGTTTGCTGAGCCCCTACCCCCCCCCTTCCCCCCCCCCCCCCCCCCCCCCCCCCCCCGGGGGAAAGAAGGTATTCTAACTTGTTCAGCAAATATTTTTACATAATAGTAAATACATATTATAACAGCAGGTTTATAAAAATTACATCGGGCATGCAGGGCATGTGGTTATCTTTTTGTTCATGAGACTGCTTTGTGGATTAAGAAAAAAATGTTGAAGCCAAATCCTTTTTGGGGGATGGGTGGGATTGTTTTAAAGTAGGAGGCATTTGACTACCTGCTAAAATGGCATTATGCTACTGATTCAGCTAAAATATAATGATTGTTTATAGAAATTCTAGAAACTCTCAATAAGATCATTTTGACAGAGGAGGATAAGTACTTTTAAATGAGTTTTGTACACAGCTCAGATGTTAGATGTTATTTCTCACTGTTAGGATCCTAAGAGCCCTATCAGTCTGTGATCATGATGATCATGATTCCAGACAAGAAGGAACTGTGGGATATTGAATAAAACTCAGTTATTGCTGCTCAGGCATTGCTGTCAGGTCTTAATAAAGCCGCTCTCTACAGAAAAATAAGGCATTTTATTTTCTCCTTGTCCTTCTGAGAGGTGTAAATATGTAATTAACTTTGGATATAATTAATTACTTAAACATTGTTTGCTCCAGGCTTTCAAATATAAACCATTCCAAATCCTATTTTGATTAAAAGTCATGAGCTACTCAAGTTCACTGGGATATTAGAGGTAAGTGAGTTATGAGGCAGGTTGTGAGTTACACTGTTTATAAAATACATATTTTGAGGATGTGTTTTACCAGTTACTTAACATCCTTGTCAGTTGGTTCTCAGCATCTGTGTGTCAGTGGGTATGTTTCTATCAACTGCTCTTTCTCTTGACTATAGATTTAAGTTCCCTTTACTTCATATGTGCAGTAGCTTTGAACTATTGACTGGACATTGTGGCTGATGGATGTAAAGTTTTTCTTTCCTTAAGGTGTGCTGACTCCTCTTGTCCTAGTAGACAGTTTTATTCCTGGCAGACCGCCTTGATCCTGTGAAGGCTCGGGTTGAAGCTTCTGTTGTACACTTAGCCCACATAAAATTTAGTCCTGGGAGAGAATCCTTAATTCTGAAACGTGTGACCCTTGAGAGGATCAGTGGACTGTGTGAGGGTTTATCCAGCCCCAAGGAGTGTTATCCAGACTCTCTTAATTTGACAGAATGTGAATTCTAACCAGGAGTCCTTTTCAGCCTTCCAGCCCTCTCTTTCTCTGGGTCTCTGAATGGAAGAGTTGTGTACATGAACTATTCCTTCAGTGGTTCTAGCCTTTCTAGAATTTCTCTTCACAAATTCCAGCTGCTTTGATAGCTCCAGATACCCCTGGCTCTTCACCTAGGAACACCTTCTTGTTGATTTGTACTTTCTTCCTCTTGTGTTGAATGTATTGGAGAGCTCCTTCTACAGAGGAGGCAGTATAAATGCAGATTTCTCAATGATTTGCTTCCTTTTCTCTCCCATATTTCTTACCATTTCTTCTGGCTTTTGATTTTTCTGGTGCCTTTAATTATCTTGTCTAGAGTTTATAATTGTCAAGGAAGTTTGTTGAAGGATCTTTGCCATTATTGTTATTACTATTATTATTATTTTTGTGTAGGTATACTGGGGCTTGAACTCAGGCCTTGGATACTGTCCTGTGGTGTAGCTTTTTTTTTTTTTTTTTGGTCATGAACTCTGGGCCTGGGTGGTATCCCTCAGCTCTTCAGCTCAAGGCTAGCCCTCTGACACTTGAGCCACAGTGCCACTTCCGGCTTTTATTTTTTTCTGCTTATATGGTGCTGAG